CCCAGACAGTAAGCCCCACACTGTGACCCAGCAAGCAACCCCCAAGCCTGCCACCCCCTCCCCCCATCCTGCAAGCTGCTCCCAGTGCCAGCTTTGTCAGTGTTTGCCGATGCCAGGAGCGGAGGAAGTAAGTTGAGATGAGAGAGAGGCAGGAGGGATGGGGGAGTGGGGGTTGTTCGACTAGAGCTAGGAGGAGTTGAGGGACTAAGAACAGTTCCCGGTCCCTGCGGGTGAGGAGAGAGTCCCCCACATTTCCCAACCCTCCCTGCCAGACCCCACGAGCCTCCTGATCCTGCCAAACCCTCCTGAACCCCAACAACCCCCTAGGGACCATGTCTGTCTCCCTAATCCTCCCCAGCTGCCCCAATCCCTCCCAGATCCTACTTGCCCCCTGATCCCCACAACTGCCCCCCAGCCCTCCCATCCTGACTTACCTTAGATTGGATGGCAATCTAACCTCTCCCTAACTGCCCCGAATGTCTGTATGCAGCCATGATTTAGTGCTGATCTAATGTAGCCAAACTGATCTACAGAAAAAAAATCCCTTCTGTTTCGGGCACCTTTGCCCAGAAATGACATCACTTTAAAATGTACCTCAACATTTTTTTCCTCCTCTATACATCTTTAGAAATATTGGTGTCTTTGCCAAGTATAAGGCAGTCAGTCGCTGGGATAATATTGTTAGCTACAGTGATTTGGTGTCCCTTCTTCATTTAGGAACATGGAAAGGTCTTTCTAATGAGGCCAACTGCTGTTTATACATGCCTCCCTAACAACCAAGCAAAAAAGGCATCAGTAAAACTTTACAATGTATATTTTAAAATAAAACTTGCAATTCATGTAAAAAATGAAAGCTTTAACTAAATTTTGTATTGATCCTGTCTATCAAACTAGCTATCTAGGCTTTATATTCTGCTCTCATCTCTATAAAGTATTGCTAAACAGAATGTAAAAACAAAATATCATATGGAAGCATTTAATATATTTTAATCCAGATAAGTGATTCAGGTAATTGGGTTATAAACAACAGCCAGTCTCATACTGAAAACAAACCGATTTACCTAGAAATAAATCCTAGAAGTGCCATATTGTCAGACGGTGGTTTAGTATTGATTTGCAAAGCTTTCCTTTTAAGCGAAAGAGAAATGGGAAACATTTGTTTAGCAGGTTAAAACAGTGAGTCTTGAGGCTGGGTTGTTAACTCCTGATATACCTCGATTTGTATTGTAAAGCCATTTTGTCTCATAGGTACTCTACCTATAGAAAGTAAATAATTATTACCACTTGAGTGTGCTGAAAGTTGGCAAAGCATTTGGTCTTATTATCAAGTTGAATGATGCATGCTGAGCTGGTACTTACTGCTCACTTGGAAGAGAAGAGTTCCTGGACATAGTCTTTGGTGATAAGTCATAGTCACTGTCCGATCTGTAGAGAAAGGATTCCCTGCGCTGGCTGTGGCCTGGAAAAGTGGTATGCAACACAAGTCCTGATGAAGAGCTGGCCTGGGGGTCCAAAGGACTGCAGCCTGGTGATGGTCCATTTTCCACATCAAAGCTATGAACAAAACATACAATGTCTTACACAGATTTCTTGATACACATTTTCAGGGTATTGTGCAAAACTCTTCAAATTCCCTTACAGATGGCTTTCACATGGTGTAGTTCTGTCAAGTACTGGAGACAGTGTTATACGTGCTTCTGGATGTCATTAGTGGCAATGTCTGCCCTGTATTGCACAAGTGGGTTAGAGAAAGGAGGAGGGCAGAGAGACGTTCTGCATCGGTAGATATCTCTTTATACTCTGTTTGGTGGCCACCTCTCTACCTCCAGCATTCCCTCCAGAAATTTTGCTGAGTTTGGGCAGAATTTGCCCTGAATTAATGCATTTTCCTTCCAACTTCTCCCTTTATTTTCCACAGTCTGTCCTCTGGTTTCATCTTTGCTGAACCCAGTGTATGCTACCTTCTACTCCACACACACAGCTGCTGGATTACTTCAACAGGCTCCATGGTTTTCCTTAAATCTCTCTATGTTTTATACCTGACACACAGTTACAAACTCAGGGCATTTTTACATGCGTTTTGGGACGCAACACCAGGCACTTTAATTAGTGAGCTGTGTGTCACGTGTATCAGCATCCCCACGCTGAAAAAATGGCAGCGGGGAGCTTTAAACTAAAGCTCATTGAACATATTTTATTTCAAGCTGCCCTGCCACCATTTTTTTTAAGTGTGGGGACACATAGGGACGCTGATACACATGATGCAGAAGGCTGCCAGAGCACATCAATTTCCATGCTTCAGCCAACTCAATTAATTGATTAATCGAGTCCGCTCCAATGTGCTGGATTTCAGAGCAGGCATAACAGCAGGCTCTTTGCACATGTGCTGCATCAGAGCAGGCTCCCTGCACATTTTTGGAGCCCCTCATTACCTGAACCTCAGCAATGATCCTGACAACACTATTGTCATGAACACACTATTATGCAACAGGAAATTATCACTGAAGTAGTTGGATGCC